TTTAGAAAACTTCATATACTTACAACATATTGCTGTTTGGTTCACTTTTATTCCATATTCATTACGTTATATCCAATATTTCACAGTCCATATCCAACTGGGCATTATCTCAATATTCCACGATAATGTTACTCCAAATACAACAAACTTACAAACGCAGACGACACAAATCTGTCATGTTAGACGTTCGCGCGCGCTGGCTTGAACTTGGCATAGTTTCGATTCACAGGACGTAGTAAACTTTTACCATTTTATACAATATACGTCTGGATAATTCGAAGATAACGTTGACCATCTCAATACATGCTCGTCTGTTATCACACGTGACATCTTGGCATCTCATCCACTTCAAGGTGTACTATTACCTGTTTTTGTATATTTTAGAATTTCTCCCTCTTTTAACTTCTTTGAGTCAATTTATTTTAAGATCTTCATCCTGTTCTCTTTCTTTCTTGTTGAAGAGCTGTATGTTTAAGATACTGTAGCGTATGCATAACGAAGATTACAACAGAGAAATTTTCCGAAGAAAATAGCAACTGTCCTTCCAGTATCGAATCAAAGTTACGAGCTCGTTATAGGTTTTTCTGAGCTAGATAAATCAAAGATCATTGCCAAGATGTTTGACCAAGGACCAACTGGAAGATAGGATTCTTGTAGAGCTATATCATTGTCCTTGTAGTAAATTGTTGTCTCGGTGCTGTCGTTATGGGTTTGATAAGTGTATGAGAATTTATCTGGTGAAAAATCAAATCGATTCAGAATCTAACAAATCGTAGAAAGAGTTTTCACACCCGAACAATCGGTGTGTTTTATAGCGTGTAAAATATAACATGTTCTGTTTGCTAACACGAAACAATTAAAACCACTGAGCTAGAACATTTACATGGCGGCATACCTTTCATCTTTTAATTACAAAGTCATATTGTTCAGGTGGACTAAATTAATTTTTACTCTATGTTGACACAAGGAAAGTTTTATTTAGAATGGAGATTTTTTACATGTAGTCACTTTTGTCCAGATTCAAGAAAGAAAGAAAAAAAAACCTTATTTTACAAGGATATCAACTTGGCGGGAGGGAGTGGGATATTTTCTACCCACTGGTCTTTGGGCTAACATCTTGGCATTCCTTACGGTTATCCATACCAATTTACTGATGGGTCGACAGCAATATGAGAACAGATGACACACGCACCACCATTTGTTTGACTTAACCAAGCAAATTACGTCAGATAATGATTCCAATGCTTTAACTGACAGTGCTAGAGTCCGTCCTATGTCTATATTCACGAGAAGGGCCTCTAAAATGGCACAAAAAGGTAGGAATCCTTTGGTTTGAATTTTAAAATTATATGTCGTAAGGTGAGTAAGAGGATATAACCTAGCAAATGACATCATGTCAAGATTCCAACGGTCTGACTGAGCTGCAGCCTTTCCTCTAAAATCTATCAATGATTGATCGTGAGAACGGGACTTGATTGCAACTCCCACTTGGTGTGGTCGAGTCAAAAGGTCGGGAGTATGTGTTATTGACTCAGAACATGACAATGTACATTTGATATTGGTCACAAGGATATTATTATCAAAGTTTGACCAGGTGAAAGAAGGAAGAAAAGGCTATGTTTATTCAGCCCCTTTTTAGAATTGTAAACATGACTTCATTTTAGATCTATATTTGTCGGTGATGAGTTTTATTTACAGGTTCAATTTAGCCTTCCCTAACTTAAAATAGATTTTAATACTTTAGGTGACCCAACTGTAGGGAGATTTTATAAACTTTTTATGTGTATTGCATGGCATAATGAGGAAATATGACCCATCGGGACAACTCGGACAAATTTTTCTAAGACATGAACCAATGTTAAAGACAACTCGGAACACTTTTTCAGACGTTCACGCGTCGACCAAGATTAGACCCTACGACCTCTACTTTGGTTTCGCCCTATCCGACTGTGCAACGTACGGAACCCCTCAAAAGATTACTTATTGACTGTTTATTTTTGATAACGTGACACTTTAATTTGATAACATGTCAACAGAAACATGTTAATCGTATTAGGAGGAAAGTGTCCTTTAATCAAGTATGATCATACATAATATTACATCACGTTATCATCCTCCGTGTAATTTATAAACGTGTTGTACCATGAAAGGTGGTGAACAATAGCTCGGAATAAAGGACAATAGCTAATATTCTTGACGCAATGATGGTTTACAATTGACGTGTTTGTTTGCTCTTTGTTGATCTTAAAGGACAGTAAAGGGTTTTCAAAATATGTGTATCAGGGACACTGAGAGCATGAATTAACACCATTCCAATTTTCAATCAGATGTCTGTGGTTCTTGTTACTCCACTGAAATAAGGGGTTTGAATGACCTCACTATCACGAAAGTTGATAATTTAATCTCTGAGGGCATTTAAGATTATTCGAAATTCGAGGGTCAAGAAACAGTGATACTTTAGAAATCTCAAGTGCTGAAATTTAATATGATTTTGATTGGTAAACATATCTGATACATAAAGCTTTTAATGCCCTCATAAATTCTTTACACTTGTTGGACCGTAAACATGTTATCTAAATAAAATTATAATTCTTGACCCATAAACTACATGACTGTCATGTGAACGATTGTCCATGATTGTCCATTAATTGGACGTTTCAATATAATAGACCCCTAAACCTTGATTGTCGTGTCCGAAATGACCCCCATCGAGTTTGACCTATCGTGTTACTTAGGGTTAAGATGACAGCTTAATATTTTGATAAATCTCGAAATTTCTCTAAAGAGAAATGCTTAAAATATCTTTATGTCTATGCGTAGTTCTAGTGGAATTGCAGGCGTCTGGTATGGTGCAAATATACGCTATACTGATCCAAAGTTTAAAATCTCTTAAAAATCCCCTAAAATCTTGAAATTTGAAAATTGGAGCAAATTATCCATACATTTTGGAATATTTGTGGGATGAAAGCATCAGAGAGCACCCAGGCTTGTATTACGATATCTCTCCATGTTGACGTCACTGATGACAGCCAGTCAATCGTTCCGTCCTCTCAATTTTTGATTTAAAATGAAGAACAAGTTCTGAATATTAACCTCAACCATATATTTTAAAATGAAACTTTAGAAACAAAAATGTGAAGATCAAGTGAGAATGGTGGTGATACAAGTGATAAAATGTATAAAACCTCATATACAGCCAACTAACAATGCGCTACTGTAGTGTCCTCTGACTAAATTAGAAAATTTAATTTTAAGAAAAATGTCGGACAAGCCAATGTGTACATTTCACACTGGTTTGTGAACCCTGTAGATTAAATGACCCCTTTAAATTTGTTTGTTAGTTCACGAAATATGTACTTGTGAAAGAAGTCGTTTGAAATAGATTTAAAGATCTTATAAGAGGCGTTCAAAATCTTTTCAGAGAGCGAATTATTCGTCAAATATCTATGTGAACTTTTGTACCCGAAAGGTAGAAATCAATATTAAAGGAATTGTAAAGAGGTTTCATTGCTTGTTATGTGTATTGTGGGTTATTTATAGCTTCTAAAATTTTTCAGTGAAGAGTCTGGTGTTCTTGTTATTAACACTATCAAGCGTTTGACGTCACTATCTTGGGGTTTGTAAAGGGGATTGTATAAAGGTTTTCTCAATTTTGTATGTGTTTTGGGACCACTGATAGCATCAATTTGCACCATTCCAATATTAAGTCATATAATTATTTGGTTCCTAAATTATAGAATGCTTAACATCCGACGTCACTATCGCTTAAGCTACTGCTAATAATAGCTCTGTTAATTTAGTGATACTGAAAAAACCGCAGACATCTGATTTAAATTGGAATGGTGCAAATTGATGCTATTAGTGTACCTGATACACACATACAAAGTTTTGAAAAAAAAACCTCTTTACAATATGCTCTTAAGACAAAGAAAAGGCAAACGAGTGTCAGTGTCCCCGATACACATATAGTGTACCTGTAGGCTACCACTTCAATTTGCATTGTACATATCAGATATGTCGGGTGCCAAACCTAATCGTCAGTGAGGTCATAGTGAAAAAGAAAGTCAAGAGGAACACGAAATAGATGTAAATTGTATTTTTATCTGACCTTTTTCTCATCAAATACCTGATATTTCAGATTATTTTGATTGTGGTCGTCTTGTAATATTGTTGAAGTTTTCTGATATTTCTAATGTTACCTATAGATAAGTTATAAGTATGAACTTTGAGTACACGAAGAGGTTTAGGTCAAGTTCCAAACATAGTAATTTGTACTACGAATTAAAGGGATTGTTTTCTAAACTTTTATATGTATCAGGGGCACTAATAGCAGCGATTTGAACAAAAAAAAACCAACTTCCAACTGTCGTTTCCCGGAAACGCATGCCGATTAAAAATATTTGAAAATATTGTTAAAGAGCGAAATCAAGCGGATTTTGTCTAATTATACAACCACATCTCTCTATGTGGACGTATGTTGTCGGCACCCCTGTCCATCCGTCCGTCCGTCCGTCAACATTTGCTTGTGAACGCTCTAAAAACTAGATTTTATTTTGGAATCAAATGAAATTCGGTATGTGTATACATATTCATAAAACGAAGATCAAGTTCGAATTTGAGCTATTTTCGACCGTTAGAAACAGAGTTATTGCCCTTGCCCTAAAATCTTCAATATTTTACATCCGCATGCCGTGATGGGCGTATATGGCTGTGGTCCACTATCTTTGAACTTGCGACGCAGTATTTCAGTCAGACGTCTACATGTATGATTGTTGAACTTCCACTCTGTTTGTTTGCCAGAGAAGGGGAGTAACTTTGTTATTAGTCAAAAGTGGATATTAATACTTCAGACTACAGTAATGTCATGTAATCAGCAGACCCTGATTGCAAGGAAACCCTGGATAATCTGGGAAAAATCAGTAAAAATGAAATGAAATGATTGGAGTTTTACGTCCTACTTTCTGCATCATGTGAGCATAGAACTGTAATAGAATACATACTTCAGTATAAAAATTTATTTTGAAAATAAATAACATAAATAATCACATAATAATATTATATCACAGAGTTTTCATACAAGTTTTTCTTTTACATTTTATATTCTATCAGGTTATAGAAAAATCAATTGAAATTATTAGGAGGTAACTGTATAAAAGTTTCAGAGCACATTAATTTGAAAGGAATAACAGTATATTCAAAATCCTATATGATTTTTGTTTTTAGGTCATTTACCAAGTTTTATAAAAACAAGAATATTCCAACAGCACCTAATCTCACAACAATAACTTGTTTCATACACAAATTTTAAATAAATATAGTTATTAAGATGACAGACTTTAAGATAAAGACATTATTAACTTGTCCTTGAAATAGTTACATTATAGTGACCTTTATCCACTGTGTAATTAAGGATTTAACAAGGACTCGTGTTTACCATCGTATGAACCTTGACCTCTGGCATATAACCTTTGTGGATTCTCTCCTAACATTCCTTTAAATAGAAATACTGCTTCATAATGCTCTTCATGTCTGAAATAGTATAATGGTTATATTTGATCTCTTTGAGTTTATTTGAAAAATCTCTGTTACTGAATATCAATAAAACAATTATTATGTGAACACTTTTATACTTTAAAGGGACCGTAAAGATTTTTTTGTGTATGAAGGAAACTGATAGCATCCATTGATACCATTATAATTGCAAGTCAGGCTTATGTGGTTCTTGAAATTCTACAAATCCAGTCCAAAAATCATAGATGTCCAACACAGAGCCATTACATGATATTATTCAAAAAAATCCATTAATGATCACATAATTCATTGTTTGTCAGATATCATATATAAATTGTTGAAGTATATTTAAAGACATGGAAACTATGAGTGAGGCTAGATAAACGTTAACCTATTTTGTTTACACTATCATGAATACAATATTTAGTGGGGTGGGGCTAATATGTTAGTTATTATCTGTGCAGACAACTTCAGTCACTCCCTTCTCATTATATATTAACAGAGTAAAATGTGCTATAACTTCAACTTACACTAGTTATACCACAGCTAAGCACTGCACACTTAATACATGGAAGAGATCACAGACTATTCTCATATTATATTATGATAATACTTACTTGGCTAGGAAAGTAACAGTTAATAATGATTTACTATTACTAACGTGTGTTATGTAGGCATCTAGTATACCCTGTGATGGTTCAACTTTAAACGTATCATTAATACAAGAATCTGATATTGATTCTGAAACAATATAGAAAAAAACTCATTTTATAGGTGTCTTAATAGTATTATTCTTATCAAAGCATGTAGTGAGATTAGAACAATATATTTTTATAACAAAAGTCCTTTTACACCAGGCTGCTATAAAATGTATTGAAAAGATCAATGACCAAGAACCCACTGGTAGACAGGTTCGTCATGAACCTAAGATAATGTCCTTGTAAAAAATGTTTTTGTTTTTATCACACTAGACTTACCCAAAGAAACGTTCCAGTGACTTTGTGATGAGGTCTGATTTGATATAAACAGTTCCAGGATTCTGGGTTGATCTACTAGACAGGTACCAAAATCTAAAGATTGTTTTGATAGTTGAATCTGGGGCACTGTTAGAGTAGCATGCAATGGAACTTTCTAAAATTAAAATATATATTAACATTGAATTTTGTTTGAAAAAGCCATAACCCACATCTGTTTTTAAAAGGCAAAAAAAAAAATTGGTTGTATAAAGAGTCCTGATGGCTCAGTGAGTTAGATGTTTGCTTGCTAACCTGAAGGCCCAGGCTTTAATCCCGGCATAGGTTGAGGTAGTACCATTGGATTTTTCAACCCGGTTTCTCCCTGTCAGTGATGTAGGCCTGAGGTGCAAAAGCATAGATAAAAACTCTTCTGAATGAATAGTTAGCTACAGGTGTAGAAAAGTAGGATGTAAAATTGTTGAAGCATACCTGTTCCGCCATATTGTTGAATTCTATGATCAAATTATCTTCTATTTCAAGTTTTCTGTTAGAATCTAATGATTCCATATCTTTTAAAGAATCGTGACTCAGTAACTCAGATGTTGTCTGAAATCCCACTTTCACCTGAAATTATGATAAATGATTGGACATGATCATTGATTGGACATGATCATTGATTGGACATGATCATTGATTGGACATGATAAATGATTGGACATGATCATTGATTGGACATGATCATTGATTGGACATGATCATTGATTGGACATGATCATTGATTGGACATGATCATTGATTGGACATGGTAAATGATTGGACATGATCATTGATTGGACATGATAAATGATTGGACATGATAATTGATTGGACATGATCATTGATTGGACATGATCATTGATTGGACATGATCATTGATTGGACATGACCATTGATTGGACATGATCATTGATTGGACATGATCATTGATTGGACGTGATCATTGATTGGACGTGATAATTGATTGGACATGATCATTGATTGGACATGATCATTGATTGGACGTGATCATTGATTGGACGTGATAATTGATTGGACATGATCATTGATTGGACATGATCATTGATTGGACATGATCATTGATTGGACATGATCATCGATTGGACGTGATCATTGATTGGACATGATCATTGATTGGACGTGATCATTGATTGGACATGATCATTGATTGGACATGATCATTGATTGGACGTGATCATTGATTGGACGTGATCATTGATTGGACGTGATCATTGATTGGACGTGATACATTGATTGGACATGATCATTGATTGGACATGATCATTGATTGAACATGATCATTGATTGGACATGATCATTGATTGGACATGATCATTGATTGGACGTGATAATTGATTGGACGTGATAATTGATTGGACGTGATAATTGATTGGACATGATCATTGATTGGACGTGATCATTGATTGGACGTGATAATTGATTGGACGTGATCATTGATTCATTCTCGATACAGGTCAAGATAATACCTTTGAACTTTTCAACCCAGTTTCCCCTTGTAAGGCTAACATGGAAAAAGCGCCTTGTTCAGCTACTGACAATGGGTGAAAAGTGTTGAGCTGCTTTCCTGGCATTGTCCATCTTCATTACAGAAATCAGGTGCAGGAAAGAATGACGTAAAACTAGATTTATTTCAGTTCATTTGCTCAAACAATAAATGTGCCCACTAATAAAACAAAATATGGAACAAATATCAGAAAATTAATAACTATAACTTACTATTAAACTATGCTGTGGTTCTAGAGTGTTATATAATGTTTCTGTAGCTCTTGTAGCGCCATCTATATTACTAGAAGGATCTAAATCGACCAATAAGAAGGGTTTGTTGACAAGTAGACGGAAGTTTAATGGTGTACCAGTGTGATTTGATAAAACTGTTGAACATACTTTGATGGCTTCCAGTTGAGTCTATAAATAAATATAAAGGTATTTTAACAATCACTTGAAACAAAGTTTCCAACTTTTTATTCTTACAATCATTTCAAAGCAACCCTTCAGATATCATTAGCAGTTTTTTGCAAAAGTGGCATCATAAACTTTTATTCTAAGTGGAATGGTAAGAACCACAATAGAAACGGTGCAAATTGATGCTATTATTGTCCCAGATACATATAATAATTTAAGAAAACCTCTTTACAATCCCTTTAAATCTAATTCATCTGATTGGTCAATCACTAAAATTGATCTACAAAGCAAGCGGATTTTTGTATTTCTTAAAATTTTGATTGTATCAAAGAATTTCTGAAACAAGCCGTTCCTTTTAAGAATTTTTCGTAAGTGTGTTACTTTATATTGAGAAATACCATCCTTGCCACAAAGTTGATGAAAAAACCTATAACCCTGGTTTATTTTTGACAGTCAAATTACATACCTCACCATTGACTATTAAATCACTCATAACTGATCTGTATCTCATACCCTCTTCATCTGTATTTTCTATTGTTAATCTTTAATAATAAGATAATATTCTGTATATACCCTATATTTCCTTGTATTATATAGTACATTAACACAATATAAAACCTTATACAAGCTTCATATATTATCAGAAGTTATAACCTTTAAAATAATGCAATCTGATTGGATAATAAAACTAAATTGAAAATTGATTGTGGGAATCAGATGACTGGAACAGTAAAATCATCTTAGGTTAAGGTTAAGGTTTTGAGAATAAGGGTTTTGATTATTCACCCAATCTGCACTATCCAACATTAGTCTTTAATAGATCTCTAGTCGACCCAGCTGTTAATGGCTAAGGATAATACAGAAAAGATCAATAGCTGGTAGGAAACCTTAAGTTGCTACAATTCTTTTTTATATATCTGTATTACCAACAGAGACAAACAATTATTCTACAGCTGATTGAGTTCATGTGGCAATACTATGAAGTATGCATGCAATAATGGAAATTTAGGACATGTTATCTCGTTATTCCATCTGACCCCTCCAACAATGGGTATGGTTAACCTGAGGTTGAGAGGTTTGGTTGAGAACCAGCTGATAGAAAGGATCCTTATTAACCTGAGTTGGATTTTAAAAGCATACACTGTCCTCTGCCAACAGACAATAAAGAATATTAAACTGTACTTACAATGCTGGTTTTAATTGTGCTGTCATATCTAATCTTAATGCAGATGTCTCATACGCTTCTTTTCTGTTACAACATCCTTCAATACCTGCTGCCTGAAAATACATCATATTATCATATCATCTACATCATATTATCATATTATCATATCATCTACATCATATTATCATATCATCTACATCATATTATCATATAATCTACATCATATTATCATATCATCTACATCATATTATCCTATAATCTACATCATATTATCATATAATCTACATCATATTATCATATCATCTACATCATATTATCATATCATCTACATCATATTATCATATCATCTACTACATCATATTATCATATCATCTACTACATCATATTATCATCATATTATCATATCATCTACATCATATTATCATATCATCTACATCATATTATCATATCATCTACTACATCATATTATCATATCATCTACATCATATTATCATATCATCTACATCATATTATCATATCATCTACATCATATTATCATATCATCTACATCATATTATCATATAATCTACATCATATTATCATTTCATCTACATCATATTATCATATAATCTACATTATTTTATCTACGACTCATAATCTACATCATATAATTTAATTGATTCTTAAGGTGTCAATTCAAATTAGACTAAAATTTTAATCTAACTATTTCTTGATGACAAATTGTGTGAAAGTGAAACACAAAGAAGCTATAATATTGCACTATTCCACAATAGGAGTAAAGAAAAAGTTCCTACATGAAACATTTTGATTGGTTAAAGATAGCTTGCCAGGCAAGGTAATTTACACCTACTGGCAGCTTTGATTTTGAATAAAAATATTTAGCAATACAGTAACAATCACCGGTGATCTTTGAATGGCATTTAGTAATGGTGTTGAATATATTGAAAAAATTCTTATGGATTATAATTACTAACTTTATTTGAGCGACGTTTCGACCAGTGTTCTCTGGTCATTCATTGGTTGATAAAGACTAGAGAACACTGGTCGAAACGTCACTCAAATAAAGTTAGTAATTATAACCCACAAGAATTTTTCATTTTAACAATCAGCAGTATGAAATATTCAACCTTCAGTCATACACTTCTTTTGAACTCTTTAGGGCGATACTTAATAAAATTATCAAAAATCCGGCAACAATCGTGTGTTTTAGAGTTCACGAGCTAGAAATTGAAAGCGTTTTGAAAGTCAATAACTCTTGTAAAACATTTTTTGAAGTTTTCTGTCAAGAATTGTGCCTTCTAGAGTGTTTTCATGCTAAAAATTTAACATGTTTTCAAGAACAAGGGCAATAACTCATACTCAATATTTTTCAATTTTTCTGATATTCAATAGGGTTCATCCTTGGATAATAACAAACAATCACATCAAGTTTCGTCAAAATCTGTCAATAATTGAACCTTCTAGAGTGTTTACGAGCATTTGTGGACGGACGGATAGGATATACACCCCCATTTCATGTGGGCATATAAAAATAACGTCATTAGAATGGGATTGTGGTAATGATACCAGTGACAACTGTGATAACAGTGAGAATTAAAGTAATATAATTATAATAATGATTAACATGTAAACAATAAACATATAGCTCACCTTCCCATCTAAACTCATATAACCTAAAGCATAACCTAAACATTCTATTTCTTCAGTTACATCACTTGATAGTAGGGGGGTGAAAATAGCTGACACTTGTGCATGACCATTGCCAGGTACAACCTAGGGAGAAAAATAAACAAAGATAATAACTTAGGTTCACTAAGGATCCTTTCTATCAGATGGTCCTTGGCCAAACCTCTTGGCATTGTCTTCTTGATTTACAGTTGGGTCAACTGAAATAATTAAAAAACAACTTATTCAAGATTACCAGACTTTCACATTCCGATGGAGATTGAAACTCAAGACCACCATTTGTTTAAAAAAACACAGCAAATGACAATGTAAAAAGATTCCAACACTCTACCTGACCATGATACAGCCCCTGAACAATGGAATAAATTGTGAAATATATTTTATTAACCCCCTGGAAAAGTCTAATGAGATTAACAAATTGTTTTAGGAAGTTTTTTAAAACTTACAATTTGTGAAGGAAGAATACTGTAGGGTTTAGTTGAACATTGGCCTTCATGAGGATTGAGAAACAAGGAGATGATTTTTGGTCTGTATGGTTCAGAATTGACTTCTGGTTCCTCGCTACAACTTGTAACTTGTCTGCTAGTACCAGGACTGGTGTCTGGAGAATTTGGAATAAAGTTTGTAGGTCGGCGCTCCATTTGTGGTTCTGAAATGAACAACCGATGTCTAGATTAAATTGCCTTAGTAACAAGTCTGGTCTGCCTGAATGCATTTAATTGGCTAAATGTTCAACTCTCACAAGGGAGATAAATCATAAAGCTTGTCGAAGATGTCCTGGTATCAGACTGAGTTTGAAAGACTTGTACATTTTGAAGATGAGATAATTACTCTATTGTGTCAACAAGACAAATTTTACATGTTTTCACTCATTCCGGCGGAGAAAAAAATATCAAATTATGACCAATTCCGAACTTGACCTAGATCTCATCAATATATACATAAATACCAGGTTTCATCAAGATTGGATATAAACTTTAGTCTATAGAGTGCCTACAAGCCAAATTTAACATGTTTTGCCAAGTAATGGGCAATAACTCAAAAACATTTCAACATATATTTGTCAGATGTCTATTGTGTCTACAAGGACAGATGGACAAGCAGGAGCAATATCTGTCCACATACTATAATAAAAATATAACCTTCAGTTTGGTGAATAATTTCACTGCCATCTTTATCTCTTGGTGGAAAACATCTTCCGTAGCAGACGGTCAAATCTAATGTCTGGTAGTCATCTTTTACTTGATTAAATACTCTCCAATCCAAACGGATATCTGATGGAAGTTAAAATTAATATAATTTAAAATGGGTAAAACTGGGTTGAATAATATAAACATATAGACCTAGTTAAAATATAAACATATAGACCTAGTTAAAATATAAACAATAGACCTAGTTAAAATATAAACATATAGACCTAGTTAAAGTATAAACGATAGACCTAGTTAAAATATAAACGATAGAGCTAGTTAAAATATGAACATATAGACATAGTTGAAATATAAACATACAGACCTAGTTAAAATATAAACATATAGACCAAGACCTAGTTAAAATATAAACATATAGACCAAGACCTAGTTAAAATATAAACATATAGACAAAGATTTAGTTAAAATATAAACATATAGACATAGTTGAAATATAAACATATAGACCTAGTTAAAATATAACCATATAGAACTAGTTAAAATATAACCATATAGACCTAGTTATAATATAAACGATAGACCTAGTTAAATATAAACAATAGACCTAGTTAAAATATAAACATATAGACCTAGTTAAAATATAAACATATAGACCTAGTTAAAACCTAGTTAAAATATAAACATATAGACCTAGTTAAAATATAAACAATAGACCTAGTTAAAATATAAACATATAGACCTAGTTAAAATATAAACATATAGACCTAGTTAATATATGAACATATAGACATAGTTAAAATATAAACAATAGACCTAGTTAAAATATAAACATATAGACCTAGTTAAAATATAAATATATAGACCTAGACCTAGTTAAAATATAAACATATAGACCTAGACCTAGTTAAAATATAAACATATAGACCTAATTAAAATATAAACATATAGACCTAGACCTAGTTAAAATATAAACATATAGACCTAGACCTAGTTAAAATATAAACATATAGACCTAGTTAAAATATAAACAATAGACCTAGTTATAATATAAACATATAGATCTAGTTAAAACCTAGTTAAAATATAAACATATAGACCTAGTTAAAACCTAGTTAAAATATAAACATATAGACTTAGTTAAAGATGGGTTTTCTTGATTAAAAGTAGTCCAAAAGAGATTAAAAGAGATTATCCATAGATTTATTGGCCTTTCTAATGGTTAATCCAAACATTAGTTTGTCAATCAACCACACAAAGGCTTCGCCAAGCTCGGGGAAGCCCTTGGTCTATTTAGGTTCAGGAATGAGGTAATGGAGTCATAGATAGGGGCTCTTCTTATGACTAACAAGGTCTGCGTGCAGATAATTACGAAACATAGGCTTGGGGCAAGTCTCTCCCAGCAGCTTGATAAAGAGCTAAATGTGAACTGTAAAACAAACTCTATATCGTAGCCTGTAGAGTGAAAAAACGCGATATCAGAGTTTTATGCAATATCTCTCAAGAAAATCATCGGATCCTCACCTAATTCAATAGTGCACATCTTCTTAATGATATTGACACACATACAAAAGATCAAAAGAATCTATAGAGAATTGTACCACGAGGTAAATGTGAACGGACGGACTGACCGACAGGAGCAACCACAATATACGCCCATTCTTACATGTGGGCGTATAAAAATGAACCTTACCAAATGGACTGGTGTTGTTGATTCTCATAGCTCTTTTAACACTTTTTAAACCAGAGACATGGGTACCAAACCTGAAAAATTACTGGTTATTTTAGTACCATCTATCAGTCATAAATAGATTACTGTTCAACAATTCCCAAATATTTTACAACTGGTATGATCACTGGTGTGATATAAAAACATGTATCATATTGATCTCTTCAACATCGAAAATATTACAGCTTTCTATCGTGTTTCACTTTAGCTGGTAAACACCATGAAGGGCAGAGAAGAGAATGCTACCTGACAACTGGTTTTTGGTTGGGTATAGCAGCAGTCATTTGGAAATTTAGTGGACAACCAACAACTGTCATGGTGAGAGGAAATGTAATAGGTTCTAAATCACCAATCTAAAAAACAGAATACAAAAAACATTAACATGACAATGAAATGTTGACTTGTCATTTAAAAGCTTCAGGAGGTGTATATTGTACATTAAAGAACCCAGGAAAGTTGGAATTAGCTAAGAGTTTGCTGATGCAGCTGGCCTATGAAAATTTCCTCACTGCACTGCATTGCCCATTTAATATGTATAAGGTACTTACCGTACAAGTGATAGTATCAGTATAGGTACCCCAAATATCACTATAACCAGTTATTTCTATGACATCTTCACCATAGGGAGATAGATTACCACTAGCAGGACTTAAACTAAACCCAGCTCCTAATCCACAGCTTAATGCCATCTTGGCCATGTCTGAAAATATTCACCAAAATAATCTGTACTATTGCAAAAAATTATAAAGTAAGGCCAGACCAATTTATTTCTGGAAAAATCTGTAAGGCAGGATGAAAAAACAAGACAAAATCAAAGGCCTGATGACCTGTATTTTCCTACTTTCTCAGTATTGATTTATTCGAAAATCATATTTTATTAATAATGGGAGTTTCTGATGATGTTTTGTTTTTCATCAGGATTAAAAGGTTTATTTTTTATTTTTTCAACAGAGCTGATTTTGTTGCTTATTTTTTTCTTATTTCTGTAAAAAAAAACGTCTGGTCTAATGAATTGGAAACTTTTATCTTCTACTTGCACCATTCCAATTGTTCATCAGATGTGTTAAACAGACATACTGCTTTTTAGTAGGTCACAAATACGCCCACATTTGTAATGGCAGCTTATTTGTCCGGGATTTAACGAGTTATCAGTAAATGAATGTTTCTGAGAGTGAAATTTTCATATTTCATGCAAGAAACAAGCTCTCTATCGTGTCCACAAACAATTCAAGAACAAGGGCAATAACTCATAGTAAATATTTTTCGATTCATCTGATTTTCAATAGGGTTCATCCTTGGGTGATTACAAACACTCACACCAAGTTTCGTCAAAATCCATCAAGAAACCAGATCTCTATTGTGTCCACAAACAGTTGTGGATGGACGGACGGACAGGGGCGAAGGCTATATACTATAAAAACTGTACACCACAAATTTTAAAAGAATTGCAAGAACTACAGACATCTGATTTAAATTGGAATGGTGCAAGTTGATGCTATTAGTGTACCTGATACACATAAAATGTATAGAGAAAATCTTCACAATGCCTTTAAAGTAAGAACTCAGTGATATTTAGTTGACTTACCAGCCTGGGCTCTAATTCCACACTTTGACATAGGATCAGGTACTATTGGTGTTCTTCCTAATAGAGCTTTACGTAAACTGAAAAATAATAGACAAAAAAGCTTTCTATCCCTGATTGAGATAATATTGTATCAGCTGTAAATGAGTAAGGATAATCCTGGAAAAATCAATGCCACGCACGAGGTTTGACCAAGGACCAGCTGGTAGACAAGGATCGTTGTGAACCTTAGTTGTTATACTTGTAAAATATAGTTCTTTCTTTCTTTCTTTTCAAAGGAGACATCAATTCAGTCT